CCAATATATGTAATCCGTCCTATTGAACATGGGCGAACATGTAATTGAATGGCCCTCTTGGTTGTCGGCAAATGTCATCTCTCTTGGGTTTTAAAACCAACTGAGAGTTAACCTTGCTCTAATACTAATTGTTAGGATCAAGAGTGGCACTAAGAGGCGGGGTGAATTAGTGCAGTGGAAAACTTTTGCTATTTCAAAAAATTTATTTTGATTCCAACGAGAATGGTTTCAATTCAATCCATTTCAGAAGGAATTTGAACTTAAAACCTTTCGTGAAAGTGCAAGAGAAGACTAAGGTGATTTGCAGCAATGTAAATTGCACAAATGAGAAGCGTCGGTTTCGTAAAGTCTTCGTACGATAAAAGTCGATCTCAGAAGATGTTTACGTGAAAGCATATGTAGACGTAGTTAAAGCACAGTAAGGAGGAGAGGCAGTTTGCTATAAAAGAAAGTTGCTCAAAGTAAATGCAAATCGAGTTTTAGATGGTTCGGTCTACATGACCTACATCCACTTTTGGCTTCCTCCCCCGACGAGGTCACCGGCGTCCACTAGAGGCCTTCCTTCAATAGGTGAAGGCCAACCACCTTTTATAGCTTTTCTCCTTTTGCCGGGTTTAGGAGACAACCCTTACAAGTTTCACTTCTCTTTCTTGGATGGTTACAAGTCTAAGAGATAAAGGAGGAGAACTCTAACTTTTACAACACTTTAAAGCTCAAGAACTCAAGATTATGCCAATAGGTTTCATGCCCTTTCATGCAGGAAAGGGTGGGGTTTTTATAGGCCCTAATGGCTTTAAAAATGGAGCCAAAAAGTGTCTAATCCTATATTTCCAGGGTCCTGGTGGTACCACTGCCATTACTGGGCGGTACTACCGATTGACACCTCACACTGGGCGGTACTACCACTCAATCTGGGCGGTACCACCGCTTGATAGAGCTCGGAGACCGAGCTCTGGCGGTACCACTGCTTGACAAGGGTGGTACCACCGTTGGCAGCAATAACTACCGGCGGTGCCACCGCCTGACAGGGGCGGTATCACCGCCCAGAATTCCTAGGAGACCGAGTCTCCCAAGCGATGCCACCGTCGGCCAGGAATTCAGGGGCTGAATGGGTTAGTCCTTTCAGCCCAATTCAGCCTTGTCAAGGGCCCAATTGGCCCCTAATTATGTTAGTGGGATTACCTCCCAATCCTATCTTAATTTACACTCTAACTGTGACAATTAAGATATGTTTACTACACTTCTTGTTCCGGTGCATCAATTGCTCTTCTGGCGAGCTTCTGGCGTACTTCCGGCGAACATCTGACGAACTCTCGGCAATGTTTGGGTGGACTTTCGGCAAACTCCTAGACTTTGCGATGATCTTCTTGGCAAGTTTCGACGAGCTTCTATGTCAAGCTTCTGAACTTCTCGGTTGGTTCTAGTAGAACTTTCGACGAACGTCCGGACTTCCGATAAACTCTCAAACTCCCAACATGATCTCGATCTTGACTCTAGCCCAACACCTGATTTATGTCCTACAGCCATCGTAGTTAATCCTACACACTTTTCTCAACATATAGATTAGATCAAACAAATTACAATTGACTTCATCATCAAAATCCAAGATTCAACAGATTATTAATGTCTCGATCGAGGTCTTTTTAAGTCAAACTATGTTGGTGTTAGGTCGAAATCATGTCAATATGTCAAGAAAGCCAATGGGCTTAGACTTGGGATGAATTGAGCCCATTAGAAGGCCAAAATAGTGGCTTTGAATAGGCTTAGACGGTGGTACCACTTGAGTTGGTCAACAAGCACAAACAGTACTTGTCAGTGCTATTGGTGGTGGGATGACCTGTGTATGCGATGGCATCGCCTAGGGCGATGGTGGTACTGCCCATAATTCAAAAATTATAATGGTGGTACCGTCAAAAAGTTCAAAATTACAACGTCAAAAGTTGCTATGGTAGTACCACCGGGTGTTAGCAATAGTACCGCCCATACCTCGAAATTTTGAAGGATTTAAAATTTTTGACTCCGTTTTGACGCCTTTTGGGGTCTATCATTAAGGCTTGTTGATGGAGTATCAATTTTTAAGTTTGTAAAAGGTTGTTGCTCTCTCTTTGAGCATTATTTAAGTTTCTTCCTCCTCGACTTTAAAGGTGATTAGAAGTTATAGGAGGTAAGAGATCTTATAAAATATGGAGGTTCTCTCCTAAATCTATTAAAAAAAAAGATGTAATAAGGGTAGTTGATCTTTGCCCATTGGAGAAAAGATCGATAGTGAAAACCGGTGACCTCGAGGGAAGAGGAATTGGAAGTGAATGTAGGTCAGAAAGACCGAATCACTATAAATCGGTTTGTATCATTTTTTTTTCTTTTGATTTTACTCACATTTTCGATTAATCATATTTTTGATATAGATTTATCGTTTAAATTTTAAAATTGGACAAAGATTGCTATTATTGTCATTACGATACTATTAGCACATAAAGTGAGCTTAGCACTCTTACATTCTAATCAAGCAAAATTTCGTTTATCCACAATATGTACACAAGAAAAATGAAAAATGATTACCAGAAAAAAATACCATCCATTAAGATCATGTATTAAAACCCTAGGAGTGATCTAAAATAGTTAGAAACTGCACACACATGAATGAATTAATTGGTTAGACAACATCGATTCAGGACCGGTAGGTATAACAAAATACATTTAAGTAATAAAAATATAACAATATACATTGATCTAATGTCCATCGATACTAATCAATACAAGTAGAAAACACAGGTTGCAGAATTACAAGCAACTAAAGTTTCAAAAATGTGTTAATATTAGGTATCAAACAAAACAAAGTTGCATACCGTTATCGTAATCATGATGACACTCTAATTTGTTTACTACTTTCAATGCTCACCCAACATGCATCGTTAGAACATGATGCGAGGGCTATGTTGATGTACCACAAATATGTACGAAAGGATAAAGGGAATATATCAAAAATAATAATAGGCATCGAAGGCACAAAGTGAAGACATAATTTGAGTTTAAACACAAGAATGATGCAACAGTTAGGTAGCAAATAGTTTCAGGTGCACCATGATGTATCATTGCATCTGGAGCGTAATGAACCTTAACACCGATTAAAAAAAAATTAAAACTCTAATTGAACATCCGATTTTGGATGATATTTCTATCAAACAGAGTTCAAATACGTTATGTCTATATCTACAAATTTTACTACAAAAATAAATTTCTTGTTCAACCTAACACTAACTACTATCGGCTGACATAATTATCTTGTAAGTCATGTTTCTCAGACAACTCTTGATCAAAGAAGTTGGACTATCCTTGTTTTCACCTACCAAATAAGTTGTTCTTAACGGAGAGGTCAGATTAACAATCTTTGGCTATCCAAACCCTTTTATATTTGGTACCATGTGATGATGACTGATACCTTAGTAGAACAATAAAACAAAATGAATCTAACTTCATGCTCATAGATTTCAAGCCAAGTCTATTTCATAATATACCTTGTACTACTACTCTACAGCCTTAAAAATCTTCTCTGTCACAATCAAGATTAATTGTGCATTTTTATCCATTTACATTAGTGTGTTTATTGAAATTTGGGACATGAAAATTTATGAATCACCAGATTAGAGATTTAAGCATGTAATTGTTTCATAAGTGTTTTTTCATTCTTTCTTGAGGGAAAAAAGTATTTTAGCTTGTGATTTCTCAAGTCTAAATGATATGTGAGGTAGAACAATGCAGCACAAGGTAGGTGATAGTTTACATTTACCCTCTTTTACCAATATGATATATTCTTAGGATAATTATCCATTGTCTACCGCAACATTCGAATCAATGGAAGAGAAACTATCCATTGATAACAGTGTTGGTGGAAGCAAAGAAGCTTGTTTATAGTCTACTTCAGAAAGAATTATAAAGAACAGTTAGTGATTCAACAATGCAACTATAGAAAGGTCTATGCTCTTCGATGATCATTACTTGCTCTCATGACAAGATTAAAATCACATGCAATCTATCACAAAATTCATATGAATATGTAGTGACAGAGGGGAAGTATCAAACACAACCCAAGAACAACAAGTGTCAGTGGTCGTCGACGGAGACAAGAGAACCATTGGAGAGGAAGGGAGAGTAAAAGGTTTCAATCCATTGCCAAAGGCTCGATGATCGTTGAAGTTGTTGATTGCGGGAGAGAACTCATCAAGGAAGACCCTAGACCGAACCAGCTCGTGGCTCGATCCAACTTGATTTAGATCGATTTAAGGGCATTATTAAGATTTTAAATAAAAAGAGATTAAAAATCAAAATGGGTAGCGTCATATGGTAAAAGTTTATTATTATGAGCTTTTTTTTTTGGGTAAATTATCTTTCTTCTCATTTTATAATATATTATTTGCTTAAAATTTTTAATTAAAATATTTGTTTATTTATTTTTACTCTAACAAAAGGAAGAGTGAAGGAAGATGAAAGAGAGGTAAGGAGACCTAAACCCATTAATAAATTCTGAATAAAGAGATACCATTATCCCGTAAAAGCATATTAATGAGGGTTTTTTAGTAAATTCCCTAATTATTTCAAAATAAATATTAAAACTTATGCTTGGCATGACCGCGTGTAGGAGGATGGTCGCTCGTCATGCTTTGTTCGTCATCCATTGTATTGCCACGCGATGCGATGGTGTTGATGATCAGTTTTGGACCATTTTGGCTGCATATGTGACCAATTGGATCGTTCCCTCATAGTGAAACAACCTAAATCTTACCGAATTCAAGATCTGTTAATAGGTCGTCCTCATACGTAACATTTATCAATGTTATAATTAATACATGGACCATCTCAACCAAAAGAAGCACGCACGCACCGAATCATATATTTGACACACACATTCGACCATGATTTATTTGACGAATGCCTTTGTTTCCATCTCAACCGTCCCCTGCTTTAAGCTGAAAGAAGGACGGTTGAGATGGCAGGATTGGATTGGCTGAATGGTCATAGATGCACCCATTATAACTCGCCCTCCTCCAAACTCCGTTTCCCGAAGAGGCCGTCAATTTCTGCGCGAGCTGTGTGTATCGATCTTGATAGCTCAGGTAAGCGACTCTAATGCCCTTGCTTCCTAGATTTTCTCCTCCTTTATAGGGTTAATTGCTTCGAGCTAATTTAACATGGAGGATTTCTATTGCGATTCACGTTGATCTTGTTCGAATTGTATTCAAATAGAGTAGTATCCCTGTGATTGCGGATTCCACCTCTTATTTTATCTCCCTAAACCCTAACCTGATGCCGCTACAAGAAATTTTTGTGGGAGATGCACTGAAGCGACGCGACTGTCCGAGATTTTTATTTTGTTACCTTTTGACCTTTGAATCTGTTTATCTTACCACTTTGCTGTTGGTGATTCTTATGGTCGTCCATTGTTCATGTGGATCTTGATGTTATGGCATGATCCAAGAGTTACCTGAATACTAAGAGATTATAATAAAGTGCCTGTTTTTGCATTAGTTGTATGTTCTACCTTTCACTTTTTTTTTTCAGAAAAGGAACTAAGCTTTAGTAATTATAACGAAAATAAACACGACTGTTCGCATAATAGTGAACCAAAAAATCCAGCTTTGGAGAAAACACTACAACCAAAAATTAGTAGTTTTGGTGGTCAGAGCAAAGGAAGCCAACCAATAGTTACCTGAATACTAAGAGATTATAATAAAGGGCCTATTTTTGCAATAGTTGTCTGTTTTGCCTTTCACCTTTTTTTTCAGAAAAGGAACTATGACCATTCGCATCATAGCGAACCAAAAAATCTAGCTCTCGAGAAAACACTCCAAACCAAAAATTAGTAGATTTGGTGGCCAAAGCAAAGGAAGCCCACCAATAGTTACCTAAATACTAAGAGATTATAATAAAGTGCCTTTTTTTGCAATAGTTATATGTTCTACCTTTCACATTTTCTTTTTCAAAAAAGGAACTAAGCTTTAGTAATTATAACGGAAATTAACACGATCGTTCGCATCACAGTGAACCAAAAATTAATAGTTTTGGTGGTCAGAGCACAAGAAGCTAACCAATTAGCTATACCATTTGCCTCCTTTAATACATGGATAAATTTACATTCATAAAAAGAAGATAAAAAACTTCAAATCTACAGACCAAAGAAAGGATACCCTAAGGAGGAGGGGTGTGTTGGTTCAGAACGTTGACCAAGACTTTCAAATCCATCTCAATATGAATCTTAGGCAAGCCCTCTTGGACTACACCCTACCAAGCCCCAACAAAAGCAGCTGCCTCACTGTCACAGACTTATCTGGTTTTGCCTAAGTCGTGTGGTACCCTTGCGTGTCCGTTCGCAAAGGTCAGCCTCCTCGAAACCTCCTATGGTCCCTTAGGACCTACAAAAGATAAAACCGGTTAGAGAAATCATCTCACTCGGGATCCACAAGCAATCATTTTAGTAAACACTTCATAGTCAATGCAAATTACAAACATACTTTACAAGCTCTTAACGGTTGCATAACAAATGGTCCAAAATAGTCCACTATAGACCGAAATCCCCACCCACATGACACAATCTTTATTTGCAAGCATAGGATGACCGCTAAAACCAAAGAAAAGGGGGCTGCTAAGCCTACTTCTAGCCCTTTACATCGACATATATAAGGATTACATCGAACACCCTGTTGACAATTTTGTCCGTGACATTCTCCCAACTTATTCCTTCGACGTCCTCATCGAAGCCCTTGTTGACGTTACAACTCCTCGCCTTTGTTGAGTCTTTAATCTTCTGCTCTAGCTGCAATGCGCTTCTTGGCTCCCAACTACTCTCCGCCGCTATTGTTGAGTAGTCGAACTTTTAATCCGTCATGCTACTTCAACTCGCCAATGACTTTGACTTTTGTGTGGGGTTGGCCAAGTTGTGTTGATCACTGTTGGTTCCTACGGATCCTTCAGATGAAGGAAAAAACCATCCTTAGTATGCGCCAATCACTCAAATGCCTCATGCCACTTGAATTTGGTGGATGCCTGTTGGAGCTTTAACGAGCATCGCCTCACAAACTTTTGAAGTTTTTGGGTCCTTCCTCCATAAAATTTGTCCATCGACTCTTCTTTCATTTAGTTGTCACTTCCAAATAGGTTTGCATCACTTCCGTTTTCGATTAGCATTCTATTGGGAAATGAAGCGGATAATCTACTCTCAGTAGCCCTGATCACCATTGGTGAGGATTTGACAACTATTGTCTTCTATTTGGTTTCTTCGAATGGTCTTTGAATATGTGTAGAGCTCCTCTGCTGGATATATAAGAGAATTAGGGTACTCGGTTTCGCCTATTCTCTTAAGAGTTGAGAAGGCAAAGGTTATTTTGATTTCGTCTGTCTCCTCTAGGGTTGTACTCTATGTATCGAGCTGGTTACTAGCTTTCGTCCGCTCTTTGCTCACACTTCTGGAGCACTCGAAGTATTTGCACCCTTTACGTTGAGTTAACTACTGTGATTCACCTTCTCAATGCCATCGAACTTCTGGAATGTAGGAAGTTTTCACCCTAACTTGGAGTAATTCTCTAATAGTTTTGGTCGCCTCTGGAATTGTATCGTCTTCTCCATCAACCTCGTCGCCTATTCTACTAAGTAGCAAAGGTACAGCATCGAGTACTGCCTGCTTCGTTCCTTGGTCGTGCACTCTTGCATCAGCCCGAAGTCCTCCACTTTCGGCTATCTTGATGAGAAGCTAGTTGACACCAGTGTTACAAAGTTTCCTGGCCTCTGCCTTTCATCCTTGTCTCGGTACTTGGAGTTTGCCTCCGTATTCTCCACCTCGGCACCTTTCACGACCATGCGCTCTCCCTCCATGAGAGCAAGGGATCAATGACTTCATGGAAGTCCCGCCTCTGCGATATCATGGCGTTGTCATGCCCATGGCCCTACTATCTGTCGGCTCACATCTGTATCCCTTTCTTCGCGATCGGTAGATCTGCCTCTGTGGCATTGTGGCACTCCTCCGAGTCCACCTCTATTCTAATCGATATGTGGTTTTGGGTAGCTAAGTCCCTCTGGACTCGTCGCTTCCTCGCCCCTTTCGACCCCCTACTTCAACTCCTCTGTGTTCTCCGAGCAATTCCCCTTGGTCGATAGAAAGATAGGCTACAACTCTCATGCATGGCCTCTGCCATCATGTTGTAGGGTTTGCACTAATTCTGTTCTCTTTAGCATCCTTGGTAACAACCTTTGTTTACTCGGCCTTGTCCTTTGACTTACCGAGTTCCTTAAGCGAATATGAGCTCTGGAGCAGTTCAACTCTCCAATCGCTCTGATCATACCTCTACATGATCAAGTCTCTCCCATGAGACTCACTGGTACTTGCATTCGGTATACTCCCTCGGTGGTACACAATCCCTATATGCTGATGACCAAGGTTTTTATCCGATGCAAAATTCGATGCACGCACGAAAGACCCGCCTCTCCGATACCATGACATTCACTCCTTGAATCTATAGTCTTTCTTGTCGTCATGTTGTTCATCGAAGTGGAGATCCCAGCAGCTCCCGATCATACCTCCGTATGATATAGTACCTCACAGGACTAGATTCGTGTGTATCACATTGCCACAAATTGAGAAGGCTAAGCTTACTTTGATTTCGTTCGCCTCCTCGAGGGTTGTACTTTATGCATCGAGTTGGTTAGTAGCCTTCTCCCACTCTTTGCTCACACTTCTGGAGCACTCGAAGTGTTAGCATCCCTTGCGTTGAGTTAGCTACCGTGATTTACCTTCTCAATGCCATCGAACTTCTGGAATGCAGAAAGTTTTCACCTCAACTTAGAGTAAGTCTCTAATAGTTTTAGCTGCCCCTGGGATTGTACCGTCTTCTCTGTCTACCCGATCGCCAACTCTACAGAGTAGTAAAGGTACAACACCGCGTACTGCCTACTTCGTTCCTTGGTCGTGCACTCTTGCATCGACCCGAAGTCCTCCACTTTCAGCTATCTTGATGAGAAGCTCGTTGACACCGATTTTACGAAGTTCCCTGGCCTCTGCCCTTCAGCCTTGTCTTGGTACTTGGAGTTTGCTTCCGTATTCTCTACCTCCTCGGCCCCTTTTACGACCATGCGCTCTCCCTCCATGAGAGGAAGGGATCGATGACTTCACGGAAGTCCCGCCTCTGCTGTACCATGGTGTTGTCATGCCTACGGTCTTACTATCCGTCGTCTCGCATTTGCATCACTTTCTTCGCGATCGGTAGATCTGCCTCTGTGGCATTGTGGCACTCCTCCGAATCCACCTCCGAGGAAGCTAGAAAACCTGATCTCAAGAAATATTAATTTGAGCAATAAAGAACGAGTAATAGAATTCAACACGTACCAAGATGGTCAAGGAGGAGAGCTTTGAGACATCCTTCTAGTTGGCTTAAGTTGTTAAGAGGTCGATCTATAGGTCTTAAGTTGCAAGTTGGCTTAGGAGAGGAGAGGAGAGAGATGAGGGATAATTTTGGACTTGCTCCAAGTCCTCTAACTCACATCCTTTAACTTGCATTGGAAAAACTATGGCTTGCACCACTTGCATGTGGGAAATATCATTCTTATTCATTCAAAGACTGATAATTGCATTATAATTCTTGACCTTTTTATATATGGCTCAAATACAAGAAAAAAGGAGTAATTAAAAAGGGAGAAAATGAAATCGTATCAAGATGATTAAATATATTGTATGTAGTCATTTTTGAAACGATAAGCTTCCAGAATTATTCTTTAAAATAATATTCTTTCTTTGCACGATGCTCTTCCTTTTTTTAAGAAGATGATTCTATAAAATAATCTTTTTTCCTTGTGGATGATGCTATTTTTTTCTTGCAATATGATGATTTTTATTTATTTTCTTCTTCTTTATTGTCAATTTGAGACATAATATCATGATTGCATAGGATGTTATTGTATGGAAACTCGAATACAAGTTCACCATCAATCCAAAGTAATTTGGATCAACCATTTTTCTCTCCACGTCTGTGAGATATGGTTTGAGTTCCATCATGATTGGCCAACCCAACATAGCGAGTGCATTTGCATTTTAGATCGAAAGACGATGTGACACCAAGACAAGCCACGT